CCAATACTTGTACTTCCCTACATTAGAGGATTGTCGGAAAGGATAAGAAGGAATTGGGTCCAAGTATAACATCAGAACCTGCTTCAGATCTGGGAACACTATCCGTAGCAGTCTCACGAAAACCAGGCCACCAACCGCGGACTGCGATTCCAAGAATTGCATTTACCGAATACCGTGCGAATGCGGAGAATCATACATCGGTGAAACTAAGAGGCCATTGAAAATTCGCATTGCCGAGCACAAGAAACTCACTCAGCGAGGAGAAACCAGCAAATCTGGAATAGCAGAGCATGTTTGGACTCATTAACATAACATCAAGTGGGCTCAGGCTGAAATCATCCACAAGGAGGAACACTGGTTTAGGAGAAAATTTCAAAGAAGCCGTATAAATGTTGTCCAACAACGCATTTAGCCAAGCTAGCATAGAGATACGTAACATATGGAAACCTCTAATCAAGCGGAACACGACCAACTCCCGCCAAACGGTCAGCTCCCGCTAAAAACCAATGAAATGGCGAGATGGAAGAGGGGATAGGTGAAAACAGTCGAATGACTTATAAATAGTCAGATCTCAAAGGAATAAGTCCAGTTATCACCCGAAGACGATTGTGGATACTAACAATCGAAACGTCGTGAAGTAACTTGGTTTGGAATCTTTCAATTTTATATTTTTGATTTTCATTTCTTGTTAATAATATTTTTTTATTTTTCAGCTCGTGTTAATAGTTCAGTTTTTTAGGTTGTTGCTTGTATAATATTTCATTGTAATTTCAGTTTTTTGCTTAATACAATTGTTTTTTCAGCTAATCTTTTTAACTTTTTACAGATTCTTTCAGGGATTTCAAATCAATTTATATCATACTAGTACTATGTTGCTGTATCGCTGCTGTTCCAATGTTTTGACAGAATCACAATCAACGAACTTAGGCGTGCGCAGTGTTATAAAACAGTGCTTTCAAAAAATTGTTTAAAAAAATCTGTTTTTCCGTTAACCAGCTGTCGCACCGCTACGAACGACAACCCTCAGAAGTCGAAACTTGTGCGAGCTAAGGATTAACGAGGTCTTACCTTTTAACGTGTGATTCCTAACAAGGGTCGGCTCCAGCAGTATCGTCTTCATTCCTATCGTTGAATTTTAATTGTAACCTTTTTGCCATTTTCACAAAATCAAATTTATTAACAAATGTACAATATCAAATGAATGTCTATAAATATTTAAAAAATTGCATAATACGTTTATGCATAATACTTTAAACAGTCTGCTAAGTGTAAACACATGTGTTTGACTGAGTTAGTTGAAAAATAATTAATAGATATTTTTCATTAAAAAAAAATAATCTGAAATTAAGAAATGTATCAACAATAGTGTTTTATGAATAAGGGTTAAATAAATTATCTGTTAAACTGAATTATTTTAATGGGAGCACATTTTCAATTTTTTCAGTATTATCTAATATCCAATTGTGTGATGTTTTTTAAATGATGTTAATCTCTACTTTGTAATTTCTTGTGGAATTATATTGCAAATTTTACAACCAATATATATGCAGTGGTGTTGCATACCTATAAAGTACACTTAGCAATTTGAAAGCATTTATTGGTTATCGATCTTGTATTATACCGTATTATTTCGGCATCCACATCTGTTGGAACAGTTTTTAATGCAATTGAAGGGGACTAATTTCAACAGAATATCAGGAGCTAATTTTCCTGTTGTTTTGATCGGCAGAAACATAGCTTCCGTCTTTATCCAGCTCCAATCTTCCGTATTCAGCTCTCATCAAGCCAGTATTGCACTTGATAATACAGTCTGAAGGAATGGAAACATGATGCTTCTGAAGTTGGAGGAAGGATTGCTAAGTTGTGTGCTTTTTTGACATTTTATAATTCCATTTTTGAACTTCATAACACGACATTGTCTTACCGGAGACAAGTGTCTGTCGGTCGCGAACTATGTGTGACGGTCCCAACGAAGACTGTAGTAACTTAATTTTCAACAGTTTTGAGACACTTCCACTAGCGGAATTTAAATTATTCGATTTAACCCACGAAAACTGTTATAGGCAACCCAAATCATATATGGCTGTAAACTGTAGTAACTGTAGAGGAGGTTTTTTTCGGCGAAAATTGCAGTAACTAGACGAAAATATGTTACAAAGAGTCAGTCTCAACACAAGTTGGTACAGTATTCGACGGTGTAAAATATAGATAAGGAAATTCTGTATGAGATAGTGTGTTCTGATACTGTGTTACCGTTATAATGAAATGAGTGTTTCTGATGTCAGAATGTCTAATAAAAGGACCCTATTAATATTGCAGCTTGCAAATAGAAATGTTAATACATCAAATTCTATTGAGAGTAAGTTTTTAGTAGCATTGTGAGTATTTATTTTAAACAAAAAATTTATATATAATTATAGATATTGACCCAGCTAGTAAGTCGGTACAGGAAAAGACCGAAGGGGAGAATCGCGAGAGTAAGTTGATAATATTACATCGAATTATTTACTAAGTAAGGCAAACAGACATTTATAGGTGAAGGAGAAAACTCTGAAATTACTCCTATTCAAGTGCCAAATATTGAATGTGGTGAACTGGATAATTTGTATTCCCACAATTCAGAATTTTCATAATCATGATGTTGATCACTGTAGACACTTAGTACAAGTCGCGAAACTAATTATGTTCATAGTAACATCGTGAAGAAACAACATTCAGAAAGAGAACGTACATGTATTCACAAAACAAATAGAAATTTAGGAAGAGAATATACAAGTAGGACGGGCAAGATAACAGAAGCCAGGAAAATGCGAGGACCTTGTAAAGAAACATGTCGATATAAGTGCAGAGAAAAAGTAAGAGTTGAAGTCAGAGAAAAAATTTGTATGGAATTTTGGGCTATAGAAGATCACACAAGGCAATGGGATTTTCTAACAAAATTCGTCAAACAAACAGATAAGAAGCAGATTACATCAGGTGATCACTCAAAGAGAAAATATTCTAGATAATTGAATGGAATATGTTCATTTCATCACATTAACTACAAAAGTGCTATGTTTAATTATGCATAATCTTTATTCAAAATAGATATAATCCACCGGTTTTTGGAAAGTGGCCACACACAAAACGAAGGGGACAGTATGCATGCAGTAATTGAACATGCGAATACTAGTCAATCAGTAATTTATACCCCTGATCAGTGGATTACGCTAATACGAATGGCAAAAACGACTGGTAAGCCCTACATAGTTCGAGAGATGTGTCAAAACGATTGCATAAGCTTCAAGAACATAGTTAAGCAAAACTGGAAGACTGATGATAATAAGCAGCCATTCAAAATGAGTAAAATAAGAGAGATGGTTTTTCTAGCTACCAGTCCAAATCAAGTTTCATTTAAGTATAACTATGAAGACAATGAGGCACATTTAACTATTCAGGAGCAAGGAGGGAGGAATTCAAGTAATACTCAAAACGAAACTTTACCTAAACTGTACACCACTTTGCTGCCTACTGATGATAAGAAACTAGCAGGTTTATTGGAGCTTTGCAAGAGAGGGTTCATTCCAACTATTTATCACAACTTTTATAAGTCAGTAATATCGTCGAATCCAAAAGATATGAGTAGTAATAATGACGACTCGACTGAAAGCGAAGATTGAAAAGTAAATAAATACAGTTAAAGAACACTTTTGAGTTGTAAAAATATTTCGTTGCAAATATAATTTTGAAGCAGTGTAGTAAGTAATTTTTTCATAATTATTTCCGATGAAAATCATAGTAACTCGTGTAAAAAAAAATAGCGTGCAGAGTATACAAAGAACAATTCAGTACTTAAAATGTAGCCTTTTAATGCACCTCATCTCCAAAAGAATAGAAAACATAGTTAAATGTATGTTACTTTTACTTTTATTGGCAATAATAAAATAGAAGAAACTTCAAGTCCGTTCTTCTCAGTTCTTTAAAAATTGAGTTACCACAGTCTTCCTAGGGACCGTCGTCATGTGTTTATCCCTTTCCAAAAAAATGTTTAAATCATCTTTTAAATAACGCATGTCTTTTAAACAATTTCTTAAACAATAGCAACTAAAAATTTGCAGTTATACAGCTGATAATTGAGTCTGGACTCACGCAAACCTTTCAAGTCCTAACTGTGCGACTGCTTTTGACTGTTAAGAATAGCAAACCTGAGTATGCGTAACTAATGATGCACATTTAATGCTATCAGCCATATACTCCTCAGTTTTATATATAACTTTATATTGTTTTGAGAGTGTTTTTTTATTTGTTTATGTTCACTTTTTCATAGAACCCAATAAATTTTAGATTAATTATTGAATCCAGAACAAGAACAAAAGTCAAATAAAACATTAAATTCAGTAGTAAATCAACATTAACTGAAATGAAGCGTAGAATTTTAAACCCAGGAGTATGACGAGTTTCATAAAAATACTCCTCTCATGTAGTAGTGTGTTAGGAATCACACGTTAAAAGGTAAGACCTCGTTAGTCCTTAGCTCGCACAAGTTTCTCAACTTCTGATAGTTGTCTTTCGTATGGGGGCGGCAGCTGATTAACGGAAAAACAGATTTTAAACAGACAGTTATGATTATGGGAGAAATGTTTTTTTATTGGATGAACTGAAATAGTTTGCGGTTAATGTTATTGATTATACAGAATTTTTTCTCTCAATATTTGATATTTTTTTGATGTGATGGCACAATTTTACAAATTATACCGACCACTAAATTATCATATTGATTAAATTAAATGGGTATACATTTCTTTGTATAAAGATGGAAAAGTAAAAAGCCAAAATTTTTCTTTCAGAAAAATATAATGAATTTTTAAATAATTAACCAGATGATTTTATTAAAAAACTTAATTTTCCACCTTTTGTACATTTTTAAGTATCACTTTGTTCCATAATAATGATGTTAGTAGAATGTGACAAAATAGAAAACTTTGAATCACATGAAAAATTAACGACTTTTTTTTTTACAGCTATCAATAATACTTGTAATGATTGGAAGATATTAGATCCAGCCATACTTTCCTCGAGCCGTCATTATCCCATAGCAAATATGCCTCAAATTCGAGATCATTATCAAGATATATCACAAGTAGGAACACAACAAAATGGGGCCCCTTTAAGGCCTTTTGACTTCACAAATAATGCATTCTCAAATTTCACACAACAGTTACAGCCAAATTTCAATAATTTCTCACATATAAATTCACAACAGGGCCTGAATTGGTTTAGTAATGATTTGAATCCACAGATATCCAGCCCTCCGGGTTTTAGAAATAACCAAGCTACCAAACAGCAAGAGTGTTGAATAAAACAGTCAAATTTGATGCGAAAATTGTATGGGTCACTTTCATTTTAGATTCTAAATAAATCAATTTCAAAAATGACTATTGTCGTTGACTTTTGTTTGTCGATTTATTATTTTAAAATTGATTTTCATTTATTTGATGTGTTATTTATTATTCATTGTTGGAAACTTATATTTAGTTGTAACAATTTCAGCTAATTTGATTTTATTTATTCACAAATAATTTCACTAGTTATGACAGTATTCAATACTTGAGACATGAATAGATAGATGTGGAAAAAATTTATGATGAGCTGAAAACCATTATTTATCATTTTAATTTTTTATGAAAGAACACCATTGTTTTCTGCTGCTCAAAGAAACCTCAAACAAAATGACATCGATGTGAAATTTGGACATTTTAATATTTTGTGCAATGTGCAATATTAAATTTTATGGAACTGTAAATGAATTTATGAAATTTGTTGTTGATCCCATACTAAAAATAATTTTTCTGAAGTATATTTTCCCTGAATACTCCTAAGTACTTCATTCTGTTAGATTATTTGTGGGTTCTTGGCCAACAACTTCAGGAGACAAGTAAAGCTAATATCTTAATTATTATTGAATATATGAAATACAACAGCTAAATATATTATGAAACGATTTTGATGCATTTTTATTTCTTCTTCGTTGTACCGATTTATTTAGATATGAATATGATGTATATCAAAATAGTATTTACATAATATATAAAATTAGGGGAATGTGAAAAGCAAATATAGTTTTCTTTGACTTGATTCCATTTTTTGAATACCACAAATGATTTTACAATGTAAAAAAACATTTATAGTAAAAAACAATGTTTTCGTTCACTAAGAAACATTTTTTTATTATTTGGAAATTGTAGAAATGGCCTGTTTGCAAAGAGCAATAATGCAAGGCACGACAAGAGGAACAATTCTCATTACCTTTCGTCTAATTGCTGTTCACTCAGGTGCGATTTTATCTTCATGCCACTGATTGGTACTTTGGATTTTCAGTTCCTTTTGTTTTTGGAATCCTCGCATTTGGGCGGCATTATAACTAGTGACGTTACGATCTCTTGCAATCTCAAAAACAGATAAGTTTTTTTACTAGTGGAATATAGAAGATGTAACATATTGACCACCAAAAAATTATGTAAATGAATTTGTGGTTGCCTACTGACAGTTAACGATTGTAGGAAGTTCGGTAGACAAAACATTCAACGGACTCCACATTGTAAAGTTCTGGATGGTTCCTTAACGAAGAACATATTGGGAGCAACCAAACTAAAGCGCACAGAAGCTATGAAAAGGGGTCGATTTTTAGAAAGTCGTGTATTGACAGAAGTAGAGAAAATTAAACAAATAAATAAGTGCGGTTTGAAATAAAATGCGGCTCATCATATACTGGGTGCGTCTCCAGATGGGGAAAGTACTGCGTACAGCATAGAAATTAAATGACCATCATCAGAAAAAAGCGTTGAGCCGTTACTTGACAGCAATAGTGAAGTGGCTCCAAAATATATTGTACAACTACAACTTCAGATGCATTTTTCTAACAAAACTAAGGGTCTTTTTTGTGTTGCTCATAACAATTTTGAAACCTCTAAAAGAGTAACTATAATAGAGGTGAATTATAGAAAACAATTATAGAAAAATGCACACTGTTTTGGCATCAAGCCATTTCCCCAAAAATATGTACATTGTAAAAATTGTAAAAACTTATAAAAATATGTAACTTTATCTGAAATAAAACAAATGTATTCTCAATTCATTTTTTTATTAAAACATCCTGAATATTTACCAAACCACATGTTAATGCTATTGTATCATCAATGAAAGGTATTAAATTATAGTCTACACAAGCATGAGGCAGCAACATATGAAACTCTCTTATTCTATTTATTACTCGTTCAATATGAATTCTCAAAGCTGCTATTCGCTTTGACTGCTTTATTTCATCTTTGGTGCTAGGGTTGGATTGTGAAACAGAAGGTGGCCATACGAGAGTACAGTTTCTAGCTTCCAATAAATGTGACAAGTCTTTGAACCCTGTCAGCCATCACTGCTTTTTTTGGAGGTGAACAGTCCAAGTAACCACACTCTTGCACTATCATGACATTTGTAGCTCTTCCACCATATCCATCGGATATAAAATTAATCAATCCGTCTGGTGTACATGAAATTAAATATTTCAATGTATTAAATTTTTTGTACTGTGACCAAGTAAGTGATTGCTGGACTGGATCGGAAGGTTTTTCAATTTGGATTTTAAAGCAATCAATAATACAAATAGCATTTGAATACCTAGCTCTGAATGATATAGGTAAATTTTTATATACCTCTGTTGGTCTTGGCCACACAATCAAGTCTTTCATTTTTGATGCGATAAGAGGTAAACTTTTGGGAAAGAAAGTTTTTGGCTTTCTACTACTCCATCTGATACAAAAAAAATTGGATGAGAGAATTTTTTATTGTATCAGATAGAGTAGTAGAAAGCCAAAAACTTTCTTTCCCAAAAATATAACCCTTTCAATTCAAGTAAACTTTTATTGAATATTCTACTGATAGTGCTCTGTGAGTAGCCAAAATGTAAATCAAGTATGCTGAATGATTCATTTAACTTCAATTTCTTAAGTGTTATTAATACGTCTATAGTTGGAAGTGGAATGTTTTCACTTAGAAGTTTCATTGTATGGTATGACTGTTTAGGTAATCCTAGTAACATTTTGGGTTCTCTATCTATGGCACTTAAAATACTACTGCGCATTACATTTTAAAAATGTTTTTCATCATCTGAATCTTCTGATTCATCTTGCACACAATAACTTAAGTCAGATGAGCTACAGGATTCATAATCATGAGATATCTGTGAAGTAAGATTTCTGTATTAGTAGAGACTTCAACATGGGATGTACTGGGCTCTATTACAAAGAGGTACTAGGCCTCACTAGATAATTTTCACTATAGGAAGTACTTGGTCCGGCATCACAATAACTTGTTTGTGAAGTTTCACTTTCTAAAACATTTTCACTGTTGACTTCAGGTTCAAAGAGAGCTTTATTTATAAGTGATAATCTTTTTTTTTTAACAGCATACATTCTCTTCTGTGGTGATGGAACATTTCGTTTTTGGCATTGAAATTTATGAGGCATAACTCTTTTATTTAACAGTAATTCAATTGTGATCTATGAATGAGGACCCCAGCTGCAGTGTGAACTTATTTATATTCACGCCTAAGTTCAAGATTTTCTTCAGCGCCCAGCCACTGTCCCTTTCTTGAAACTCTTCAAGCTCTCTGAGTATTGGTTTTGAACTTTTTCATCGAACCAATCGTTGAGAGCGGTGTTTTTATATATGGGAGAGTTTACAGTGGCGAAGTACTTGTACTCCTTCAGTAATCTGTCTCCCTTTACTATCTCAAATTCTCCACAGAAGGTGATATTTACTTTGATAGATTCATCCTTCTTCAGAGCATTCTGAATTCTCCTCTTGAAAAGTGCCTTGCAGACACAATAACTTGTTTGTGAAGTTTCACTTTCTAAAACATTTTCACTGTTGACTTCAGGTTCAAAGAGAGCTTTATTTATACGTGATAATCTTTTTTTTTAACAGCATACATTTTCTCCTGTGGTGATGGAACATTTCGTTTCTGGCATTGAAATTTATGAGGAATAACTTCTTTATTTAACAGTAATTTAACTTTTTCGCCTTGTTCCTTCATGAGCTTGTATTTAATATAATTTACTGTATCTTCCTTGATCTGAAATAAACATAACACTTGGTGAAGCATCTTGGGATACCTTAGTAGAAATAATAAATACATATAGGTAGGTACATAGAAAATATTTTTTTAAGAGCTTAGATGAAGAATCTTCTAAGATGTTATGACATACGTAAATAAGGTTACGAACTTATAGAAAGTTCTGTAACCTAGGGATTTCTACAAAACTACACGATGTTATTTGTCCAAATATAATATACTTACATTAAAATGATCTTCACAACAATGTTGACGCGATATTGGAGATACATTATCCCTTCGCATAACCTTATACTATTGTTTACGTATGTTTGGATCTCTTGGAACAGCAAAAAAAAACTTTATCTGGTGTACTTTTTATAGTGTTCGGACACATTGGTACCATGCAAGATCTATAAAATGGCTTTTTTTCTTCTTCCATGATTATTACGCGATATTTAAACTAAAACTCCTTGTTAACTATCAAACTAACTCTCAATGCAAACAATAAACTGACAGGACGTGCCCTATGACGTCACGCCTCAAGCGCGCGAGAAATAGGAACGTTTGAACTTGTCAAACTAAACCAATATTTTTAAGATTTTATGAAAAAATAATTACTACTCTTACAGCTATGTTTATTTTTTTTCTATATCAAAATGAAGTAAATATTAAATAAAAAAAAATGAAAAAAATTGCCTGCATATTCCCTATTGCCAGGGGATTAAAAAAACGGGTTCTCGAAGTTTGAACGAGATAATTATTTGAATAAAGTATCGAACAGTTCACGAAGAATTTGAAGTGATTGTTTCGTCCAAGTTTTGGAATTTTTCTTTGTTGAATCTTATGTGACACTGGTATTCATGTTTTCTTGTATAGATACGTTATAAACGTATTCGTGATATTTGGTTGAAAACTAGTACTTTGATTGAGAGGGATTTACATTCGCTGCTTGTTCCTACAAAATCGCAACACTTTCCAACAAAATTCGGAAGCTGCCGAATTTCATATATGATTGATGACCCTCATCAAAAGAGGTACCTAGTTTTAATCTAATTAGTAATTATATAATGCTTCAATTTCTTTTTTTTTGTGCATTTCTAGGGTCGTACCCCGAGTTTTACTCTTAGTATTGGGCTGATTTATTGATTTATTTCTGACCTCAGTCAGTTGAATCTGTGATAAAATTTTGATGTACCTTAACGAATTTGAACAAAATACCTTTTTTCTACTCCCGTACGTGAAATAGTACTTTCACACACCGTTCACGAATCGTAAAATGTAATTTCACGCCCTTGTGCGTGAAATTATTTTTACGCCCTAGGGCGTGAAATAAACCCATAAGAATAACATGGTACATTCAAGTGTTTTTATTACCAGTGCGTGAAATATACTCATAAGAAATACATTGTAGTCTGTCCATAAGACCTAATACATGAATATTTCGCTGATAGGCGGCCTTAGTGCATCTTTTGTTTAAGAGCAGCAATAAATAATAAATAAACTGTCAAAATAGTTTGATCATTATTGTTGTGAGCTCATTGTTGAGAGTTAATTATTAATATTTTAACATTATATTATAATGGATTCTGATCATTCAGATGTACGAAGTACCCCGCCGGATGTTATGGATGCAGCCAATGAGGCTAGTAAAACTTTATTACCCCAAAAATCATTGAGAGTGTATGAAAATACGTATGAGAAATTCATGGCATGGAGGAAAACAAAGAATATCAATTCATTTTCTGAAAACGTAATATTGGCATATTTGTCAGATGCAGAGCATTATATAGAAAACTCAATTACTCAGAAAATTGATGTGGCAAATAAAATTTTATCGCCTCAAAATCAAATTTCCTCAGCCCCTACTTCTATCATCTCAACTTCCAAGTCAAAAAA